AAATTAAAAATAAAAATTTAAAAAATCTAAGACTTTTTTATTCGTATTAAACATTTAGTTTATAACTGAAAATATTCTTTATTTTATCTCGAACTAAATACTTCTGATATTCTGGTAGAGCTTTACAAACCGCTGCAAAATTGCTTTTTTGTTACAAATTTCCTCAGCTACATTAACGTAAACAAAATACAACTAAATAAATATTTTCTCGGTCATTCAAGTTATTACAAAACTATAAAAAGTTGACTTAACTAATATTTATTTTTATTCAAACTTAAAAAAACAATTTCTCTTTTAATCACAGAATATTTTTATTACAGTATTTACAATTATTTTCGACGTTACCTGTTTCAGTAAATAACTTCATACACTGACGCTTTCTTATCACCAGATCCGGTTACTATGTATTTGTCGTCCGCGGATATGTCGCAACTTAGAACACTGGAGGTTTCTTTGGACTGTAATTAAATTAAGTTAATAATGCCACAACTTAAAGAATTTTAGTAACTTAATAAAGACTATACTTACTTGGAAAATACTAGCACCATATGGAGTCCTCCAGGCGTTGAGGAGGTTGTCTTTACCCGTAGAAACGAACCACTTTCCGCAAGCGGCAAATCGTAAACTAAGAACACAACTTTCGTGTAAATGCAATTGGTATTTGTCCGGTTTCGTGGCATGCAAAACTTCGACGTTCGAATTCTCCATACCAACGGCCAACCACTCTCCCATAGGACAGTAGCCCAAAGAGAAAATCTGGGAGCTGAAGTCGTGTTGTTGTAATTGCCTTCCTTCCCTAAGGTCCCAACTTCTCACGGTGTTGTCCAAACCACCGGTCCAAAGTTTGGTACCATCCGCTGATATATCAATGCATGAAGCCCCGTCTGTGTGTCCTTGAAATTGTCGCACTAAAGTCTGATTGTGGAGGTCCCAAACGGCTATGTTCCCGTCTGAACAACAACTAAAGCACACTTTCGAATCGGGACTGATAGCCAAAGCGTAACACGCGGGCGCACTTGAAGTTAACTCTGCTTTGATGCGAGGTGTAGGAGTTGCCAGGTCCCAAATTGATAAGTTACTTGCTTCACCCCCAACTATGAGGGTTCTTCCGTCAGGTAACAGTTTCACAGATCTGATGTAATTGTCTCTTTGCTGGAAAATACAATTTTCGATTAGATTTGTAAGTCCTGAGCACAGCAAAAATTGTACGCTATTACCAAACAGTCCAGTTGAGAAACGGGACTTTTGGCCCCCGGTTGACTAATGTCCCACACTTTAACGCATCCTTTTCCTCCGGTGTAAACGTACTTCGTAGGATTGGAAATGGTAACAGCGCATACCACTTCACCATGGTTTAACGTATTGATTTGCCTCGCGTGTCTGGGTATGCTGGGGCCCATTAAAGCATCCGGAGGAAATGGTACAGGCTGCATCTGCCCATCGGCACTGACGTGAAATGAATAAGCCCTGGAAGTTAAGAGTCTCATTGTTTTACAAAGAAAACGGCAATCTTTGAAATGAGAAGTATACTAACGGTTTGCCACCAGGGATTCCCCCTATACCCGGAACTATGGGGGCTCTTACTTGAGAATGTGGATCGTAACCAACTTGCAAGGACGGCCGTGAATAATTACTTAAAGCTGGCGGTATATTGTTGTGTAAAGGGCCATAGGGACCAGCGCTAGCTGCAGGAGCTTGGAGATCATGTGGTGTACCTTTAACGGAATTAATAATAATATCTAAATAATTATGAATCCTTTAAAATGACAAAAAAACATTAATCTACCGTTAATTGTATCTAAAGAGATTTATAAATGCGAACGTGGATAAAAGGGATAAAAATGGCCCCTCTCGTAATTGGTTCTTTAAGATTGAAAGAAGCAATTTCAATATAGAAAAAGCAGTATGTTGTAAAAAAGCTCACCATTGGCCATTGCAGCCATATATGGGGGATACTGTGCTATAGAAGGTGGCTTTGATGACGATTTAATTCCACTATTTCCGGCAGTTGAACCGCCCGAACTTCCGGAAGTTGGTGTTACCGATTTCGAAATAGGCGTCGAGGGTTTCTCATTTTCGATTTTCTTCGCAGAGGGGGTCGAGGCATTACTTGAAGTTCCAGAACGTGGACTATGGGGTCCCAGGTGTTCCTTTTTTGACGACAATTTATCGAGACCGTTTTCCCTTGGGGACTGCGTGCCATTAGCTGGCGAAATTGGATCATCCGATGGGTCATCAACTATTAGGTCCTGGTCACTTTTCTCTCCGTCGCTATTCTGAAGCAATAATAAACGAAGAAATTAATTAAATTCATTTCAATTTGAGGGGCAGTTCACATTGTGGTATTACAGCTTTATTTGATAATTTTCTAGTCTGTAGTATCTACAAATAGAAAATGAAGATGAACCTAATACTTTTATATCTTCTTACTGAATAAAAAAGCATTGAATTCTGTACATTTTTGGTGTAAAAGAGTGAGATTATTTTTGTATAATTGAAGATGAAATAAAATAGAAGCTGCACGCATTAATATGTAAAAGATTAACGACCTTTGCGGTCGTGAGTCAGAGTGAACATTAAACAGTCGTTCGTATGTAGTGTTACCATAGCTGGACTGATTAACAATTACACACAAAACAACAGTAACAGTTGGTCTGACGTTATTTGCTGTTGTTTGCGTTCGTTGTTGTCATACTTGTTGTTGTAATCGCGCCGCATCGCGTCGCGTAAGCGTCGCCCGACAGCGTCATCGGCGTCGTCATCGCCATCATCATCATCATCGTGTACACAGTCCTCTCGCCGTTTCTCTGCTTCATTATTTACATACGTGTCAGAACTCGTTTTATGCTTCGCAAATAATCGCAACACGGCAGTAACGCCGAGCGCTCATTGTTTTGTTTTATTGCCTTGTAATAAATGAAAATGCCGTTTAATTATATGCTATTGTGCGCGAACAGAAAACGTAGAAAAAGGCACATTCAATAATCCAACTACAAATCAAACCTACACGCCGTTACACGTCTGTAAACGAGCTGGTAATACAGGGTGATTTTTCTTATTTCTTCTTTACGACGAGCCATCATAACTGAAAGCACTTTGACGTGTAATTGCTAGCCTAGCTATTGATATTTATTTAACTCTCAACTCAAGAATATTGCTTTTGGTTTTGTAATACAATGGACGTATGAATGTAAATTGAAGTGGAAAATTTTACTTAAACTTAAGTCATCAAGCGTGAAGACTTAAAATCAATTGGTGGCACCAAGGTGCCATTCTCAATTAGAGATTGATGGCACCTCGGGCGTCGAAAAGCGTCTTAAGTAATTAAACGTTCGAGTGTTTATTTATGGGGGGCCTGCCAAAAATGGTAAAGAATTTCGGTAGATATTGCTCTATTCCCGATTATTCTTCAAATAAGAATAATTTTTCGAGGAGGATTATAAATAGTGTAACACTGCAATTCTTTGGGAAGTCCCCAAAGTACCACACAGGTGTAAATGTTTGATTTTTAACAAATTTTGGAGAAATTCTATGCTGTATGCACACTTAAAATTTACTTTTATCGTTGGTTAGTTTTTAACAACAGTAATTAATGCTGCAAGCTTCTAAAAATTAAAGATGCGTCATATACGTACTTTAGTACTTACGTGTCCCAAATCCTTTTCTTCCTTTTTGACCTTTTTGTGTTCAGGCTCTGACGGTGTTCTCGACCTGTACTTTTCCCTTTCGGCTGGCGATATTGAACTTCTCTGAGAAAAAAGAAATATTCGTTGTTAATTACTCAATTTAATAGCTACTTATATTTACGATTCATATAAATGTCTCCTTACTACAAAATTTCATTGTACTGAGTTGTATTTTACCCTCAGATAACTTTTTTACATATACATATTATGGTTTACAAACAAATCTCAATGAGAATGCAATTTAGTTCCGTTTGTTGTTGGCAAATAGGCTTGGGCACTTAGAGAACGAATTTGTACTTAATATGGATGTACGTATGTGGGAGAGCGCAGCATTCGACGGTTTGTTGGAAATGTAATTTTCCATTGACCTGCATCGTCTGCACTTTCAGTAAAAGCTTTTACAGTCGGCTTTCAGTTTCCAAAAGTTACGCTTCCCTAAGGATAATACGTTTCCCGGCGCCGTAAAGAACAACCCTACACTCCCGGGTAGTTTACGACAGTTATATTGTAACCATTAAACGTCTCAGTTAGATTGCTGGCCACTATTTCTCCTTTTATGATTCAACTTGTTCGCAATCCATCTCGAATTGCATGTACCATATACAATCGAATTACGCCTTTTACCTCCTTTTGCTTTCCAATACAAAAATCAACCCCCTCATACTACTCTATTCCGCCAGTGATTTTCTACTGCTTACAAAGATTGACGTCAAATATTCTTAAATGTTTAATTTCAACACCATCTTTGAAACTTGCCCAAAACAACCCCATATAATCGGTCAAACATTATGTAGAGAAATATATAGTGTGATGGTTAAACTAACTTGCGTAGGTGTGAGAAATTATAAACTTTGTATCTTCCCTTATATGCAGATCTAGAATTCCATAATATTGTCCTTATATTTGTAATAATGAGAGCTCGAGTCAGTAATTACTTTTGTGCTCGCGATAGATTAGTTTATTTTAATTAAAAAAGTGTTTGGAGCACAACCTTTGAGATTATATGATATAGGAGAGTGATAACTGTACCGTGGAAAGAAGATTATAAATGAGAAAATATTAGACAGAACAGGATATCAAAGGGATGAAGCACCACGTACAGATATATTAGAAGCAGAAACTGGAGTCAAGAGAGGCAGAGGTGAACCTAGATTAAATTAGTGTCCGCAAATATTTAATAGACATAAATTCCTCGAGTTCTTGAGAAATAAGTAGATTAACTAAACATGATAATAATGATTATTATTACTGATCTTGAGAAATGTTGTCAAATAAAAAATTAGTCTACACTAATGACGACATTAACACTTTATTACTGGCTATCCAATTAATCTAAAACCTATGAGCACCAACGATTGCAACTTTTTCTTTTAATTTAATATCGCAATATTGTTTAGTTAATTTTGCGGAACGTTCTATGTGAAAGGATGCTGATAAGGTCTGAGAGCGGTTTTAAGACGGAAACGTGCAGCATTTGATAATCTGGCAAATGGTCCTGGCATGGCCTGACGTATCGATCAAGTAAGTTATGGATGCTCGCTGTTTTACGAGGCTTTTCCGTATGTTCCGGGTAATTTCTCTTTGCATCACGACCCGATGAAGCTTTTATATCCCCTGTGGAATTTGCTCAAGGACTGGAATAAAACTATTCGGAAGGGCAAGCAGGGCACACGGTTTTAGGTATTCGCATTTGATCACTGCCCTTTTCGCATTTTGCATACACAATTTCCCGTTTCCTTTTTTTCTGTGTTTCTCTAACGAATTCTCTTTTACAACCTTTCAGTTTTTTCTATTTACAATAACAATGTAACAGGTACAAGCAAATATATTAAAAAGTGTTTTCATAAAGATCTATGATTAAGTGAGCAAATACCTACAATGGAAAAGCTAATAAAGCAAAAGAATGCATAGTTTATTAAGTTTACTTCTTATATGTATTTTTAAAAATATTTAATCATTACTTTGGCAGAAATAGTTTTTACAACTCGGTAAATAACACGACTACAATGATAAGTAAGTCTTTAAACTGAAAATAATTGTTTAACCATTATTGTATTCACGGTTAACTAATACCAAATTATTTTACAACACGAGCTTAAATAAAAATTTAAACGAAAATACTTGCTTTATAAACATTTATTACTTATGAAACGTCGTAATTTTAATGAATAAAATTATCAATTACACGTTTTTACGTAACTGTAACGTAAATTTTTATGCGACGAAGTACACCCCTTACCGCATCAAGGGTGACTAACTCAGATATGCAAGTTTAGTTGTTCTAAACCAGCTCGATGAATCTGATTGGCTGTTACGCCGGCGGCCATTGTTTTGTTTGATTGAAAACTAGGTCAACGTAAGCACACCTGTACTACATACAAGTTTCATTAAAGAATGAGGAAATGGGCAATGTAATTCAGTTATTTATTAATCAATTTTGATGCAGTTTTAGCCAAAATTTTCGAAAGTTAATGCTGTTTAACACTAATACACAATCGGTTATCTTTATTTACAAGCACTTTACTTACTTTATGTTTGTGTAGTATGAATTTCAGTAACCATTAGGAGCAATTATATAACTATACGGCACAAAACAACTTAGTATTTATCTTAGCCATTAAATAATAATAGGTGTAAGTATATAGTACAAAATACGTAGCGCAATTTTTCGTTGTTAAGTCCGTAATAAACGCCATAAACTAAATTAAAACGTACAAAAAAGTCTCTGATAAAGAAGACGAAGTGGAGGCCGACGAGCGGTTTTATTACCGCCCTTTCTTACTAACCGATGTGTTCTTTGTTGTTTTCATTCTCCCCTTATTTCAACCTGAACTACACCCCAGTTTTCTTAACTCAATTTGGTTGAGTTATGGATGTTCTCGCAACTCAATGGCAGCATTATCCTTTATAAAGACCCACAGGGATGCACAAACGTTTTTAATTAAACGGGAACATTTTTTTTTATTACATACTTTCGATCGGCATAAAAAAGTGATAATATTTTATATTTGTGACAGGTGAATAAGTTAGATATAAAATTTTTTATTGTGATCGTCATGCAACTTGTGTTTATATTAGCAAGTTATTGCGTACGTAATTACAATAATCTCACACAATAGATCAGATATTGTAGCCTGATCTTATCCGAAGCTACTCTCATGATTTAGTAATTCGAGTTTAATCAAGGGTTGAAAGGAGAATGGAAATACATCATACTACTTAATGTTACAATTATGATATTGAATGAGATAATGATGTTTATCTCTTTTAATTTTCTGTAATATATATATAAATACAAATCTTCACACGTATCGAAAATTTTATAGAGAGTTAGAGAATTGAATTCGAATGAGTAAATGTTATCCTTTAAATTTTTCTACCCCTTCCTTATCTCCTTGTTTGTTTTCTAATTTAATTTGCAATGACAATCTCTCCCATCCAGCGACAAAACGCGTTATTTAATTTGCGGCAAAATATTTCACGTTTCTCAATTAATTCGGAACAAGGGCTGTCGGTTAGGGCAAAGTTTCGACGAATTTCCATCCCTCTAGCGACGGACCATTTTAGTAAGATTTCCGTCGAAAACTTGTAAATGAGAAGTAACTTTTCGGGTTTTAAAAGGGCGATCTTCCAAAGTACAAAATATTTTTATCTCGGTATGTTTATTCTTGTGGATATTATGTGGATGTATCCAAGGGGATATCGTGAGGATTTTGAATACGTAACGAATCCCCTCGGGGGGAAAGGGGGTGACGAAGTTACGCTCGATTGCAATTGTTCCCCAAGTGTTACGGCAAGGCGATAGGAGTGAAATGTTACACTATCGCAGCGGTCCAAATTGCACTATTATCTAAACAACCCTCATTCATATCACATGAATTTCTCGATCAACGGTGATTTCTTCTGATTAAGAAAAAAAGGCTCCAAGTCACAAAGACACAATAAAATTATTCGACGGTAATAATAAATAGGACAATACGAACAAATTATTAACAATAAGAGATAGACACTGATATTAAAAATTTCGTTTATATGCTTGTTTGTTCGGATCAATTTGTCAAGTTTCTAAAATATCTTAAATTAACGAAAAATTGTGTTTTTGATTGAGTAGATACTGAGAATATTTTGGCAGTTGAAATGTTTAGACAATTTAAATTCCGTCCAGTTTATCATTGGCAAAATTCGCCCTCGTCGGAATCAGCAGCGGCAGCTGTCGTTCTCATTATCTGCAGGAGGTGTTAGTGAGTAGCGCCCTCGGCTATCATTAAAGACCCTCGGAACCGAGATACCCACACTGTATAATCTCTTTAAGTACCTAAATTTAGAATTAATGATATTTTTGCATCACCGGAAAGCTACAGCAGGGGAAATGAAAGAGTCAAGGGATATTACATTCACTCATTGAGTGGTGCATGCGACACACCTAAGTGAGTAAAACAGGGGAGAAGTTCTTGTCACTTTTTCATTTATAAATTATTTATTTAAAAGTACACTAGTAAACGATGGAGAAATTATAAACATATAGACTTGTAACTTGATATTTATACACAATGTCTAATTTTTTAAAGTACGTACAGTACTACTAGCAGCTACTGGATTAAATTAATTAATTGTAGGTAGCAGTGTGAAGGTTACGATGTCCAAGGTAAAAACACTTTAAATTTTTTAAAAGATACAAGTGACACATTATTATAATTGCAACAAAATAAGCACTTGTAAATGTAAAATACAGTAGATAAACGGCCTGTAAAGAAAACGCTATGTATGTAAAATATGTTGTCAAGAGCTACACTTGTTTTTTCGTTATGAATACCTGCAAACACGACTACATAGATAGCTGTTTTATGTTATTTTCTTGTACGAATTTTTCCTTGTTAGATACAACAGTTACAATGTATCATTAAGTGCCAATTAATGTCACTTTGCGTTTTGTTAATATTAATTAGTTTACAATCGAAGAAGGAGAAACAAACAATTGATAGTACTTACATGTCTTTCTTCGGCAGAATTCATCCCTATTGGTTAACATGAAACAAAAGAAAAGTTGAATTAAAATTAACTCATTTGTAGTTGTAATAAACAAATTTTCTCTTGTGAATCGTAAAAGGTATTTGCTTAATGGAAATTGGTCCGAAATGTATATCTACTAAATCGATTGAATAAATTTATCTAACAACAAATCAGAAAAACTTCGTTCTAAATAAAAACAAGAACGTTAGTCATTCAAACACCAAAATGATATGATTTTACGTGTTATTCACGTCAACTATTATTACTAAAAGCGGGCAGAATATCAAAGGGTAATAAAAAGGATTTATAGAATCGTTGCTGTCAACTACCCTCTTATCATGTGGTAGGCTTTTTCATCAATGTGAGACTCAATAAAACAAAGAATTTATAACTTTTCTTTTTCTTTGTTTCGTAAACAATCTTTTTATTAATATAATTTCAAATCCAAATTTTTATACATATAACATCGATAACTTTTCGAGAAATGCAAAAATTGGACCTTATAATGATTATACTTACTACGTCCCTGATTTAACAGTCCTACGGTAATCTTTTTTTTGCAATTTTACAATCACGAATTACCATAAAAATAATGTTTTTTATAGTTACGACTAACGTTGCTTAAGGGTTTGTCAAAGTCGTTCAAAGCCTTAATTCCCTTATCACAAATAATTTAAAACAATAAAAGTAATGCCCAGTTGACACTCAGTCCACAAAACTAAGATAATAATTAACAAATCAATGATCATCAATAGCTTTAATAAGTGGCAATAAAAATGCTTTTTTATGTTTACAGACATTACGATGACTTGCTTTTTGAATAACTATAACTTTTTTTATGAATACTAATATCAAAAAAAGACCCTTTAAAACATGGTTAAACTGGTGAACTCATTAAGCGTAATAATAAACAGAAAATGATTAAAAATAACCATGCAGGTATGCTTTCTGACAGGTACAATAAATTTTGTTACGTTTACTGATAAATATGCGTTCATTAACATGTACCTTGTAAGTAATTTATAATACAAATTAATTAAAAAGGCAAATGTATGCGTTATGCATTTGTGCGATAAATGAAATATTTAATGTGTTTAGTTTATAGTTACGAATTCTTTATTAATTTGCCGTACGATTAGTTACTTAATTAGTTCTCTATGTATTTATTATACATTCAAAATTAAACAGTTCAAAGAAACCGTTTTTGTAAGGTATAGTTTTAGAAAATATTATCCGCATCATATTAAATTTACGTTTACAACAATATTTCTTTGAAATTAGTGTAACCAGTAATTAATACACTATATACGGTTAATACATCGAGTTTTGTGATTAATAAATTCAACTATTATGTGTAAAAGTTGTCAATTCATCCTAAAAAACGTCTCTTAAATTTTAATTGCCACGCCACTGTCACCCATTGATTTCCAGTACGATATAATTTTAGTTCAAACGCACCGTCCCTATAAAAAGAGGTAAGGCGTCGCTTAGTTTATCAGTGAGTGCTAGTATGTGCAAGATGCAGCATGTCCAGGACGATCTGTTTAATAAAATTGGATTTTACATTGTGTAACCGTTAAATTTGCGGAATCGTCGGTTAGACATTTGTGAATAAACTTTAATAGGACAATATAATACTGGACAGATAGATTTTATTCTTCTGTGTAAGCTAAATGTCTGTGTAATTTACTAACAAAACTAACACTCTGTAATTACCTTGTAAAATGTATACTAATGTTAATATTAATATTTAATTAAGGATAGGTACTAAGAAATTAGTAGTAAGTGATACTTATGGAAAACATAAGTACATATACTTACGACCACGGTAATTAACAATGTATGTGGTCAATCAATCGCATATTTTCGTACTAGACAAATTAATTATCAATGTATAACTTACCACTGCCCGACTTAACATCATCCGAACGATGAAGGTCCGGCTTTGCAGCAAACATTGATAAGGGATGCTGCCCAGGGGCTCCAAGGGCTCCTGAAAGCCCTAAGATGCTTGCGGCTGTGTTTGGAGGTGCTCCTCCTAATCCAGGATGGGGCATCATGGGAATTGGGGGGGCTGCATGAGCAGGGATTTGTTGGGCATGCATTTGCTGCAGCAATCGGGGTAGATCCGGACGTTGTTGCTAAATTACGAACAAATATATAAAATTTACAATCATTTAAGTAATAGAGAAGGCGTGTTGGAATACCCGGGTCTTTTAGGTACAAAGAAGGTCGAAAGAGGGTGGTACTACAGGGCTAATTTTTAGATGGGTATATTAAAATATGTTAATATGAAAATCTCACCCCAATTATGGCATTTAATTCTGTCATGGTAACTTGTTTTGCTCTGTCGACTGCACTAGCAACTTGTTGCTGGTGCTCTTGGGATAAAAAAGGGAGAATTTGTGCAATTATGGCGTTCAGTCTTTTCGCTATTTCAGTCTGGAACAAGAAAGAACATTTACTTGTAAAGATCATTGAATATTTCGTAATCGCATCATTGATAACCACCGTTTCATGGGGCAACACAAATATTATTAGGTATTATTAAGAGAAAGTACAGCTTACCTGTTTGTGCATTTCTACGTTAAGTCCGTAGGACATTTCGTAATACTGTAAAAGAAAATAATACAATTAAAATTATGTGTCAGTTAACCAAATTTTTACGACAATTATGAGAAAAACACGGTTCTAGGTAGAGAGTACGTCTGTGAAGCATAACCCGCAGTTTTACGCTGTCGGATTTCGGTAAATTATATGTTGAATTAACATCGTGAAGGCACTACGCTTCATGCTTTGGTGACATCGAAACAGGTACCTACACGTATAATCCCAGAAAAAATTACACGCCTTTGAACAACCGACTTAATCTACTACCTTTATTATTATTATTTAGGAAAAAGATCGCAACCACCGGAAAAATGAATACACAACCAAATCAACTGTTGAACTGTCGATTAAAAAACTGCGACAAGTACTTCAGTATCTAACGTTGAAGAAGTAATTCGTAAAACCGTAAAATATTGGTTTCTAATTCTAGCGATTTTGGTTTCTTAATTTATTATAATTACTTGCAGCGGCTAGAGCTCGGAACCGTTCTTGTTAGAAGAAACCATAAAATCGATAATGATAATATCAGTATACTAAAGTACTTAATAATGATTCTGTTTATTAACATGATGTCAGCATTTTGCTAGATTTCATTATGTCATCATCGCCGCTTGAAAACAAGAACATCTTTTGTTCTTTGGTTTTGTAATATTTCATAACGTCTCGGTGTACAATTCTTTGTGATAAACACGCAAGGCAAATTTTCATTAATTTCTTATAAATTACTAGCAACAAAATGCCATTTTATACGAAGTTAATTTCTGAAACGTTTACTAGCGGAACAATTTAGTTTTTTCTATCATTTAATTATGAGTCTACCAATATCCATTTTATAAAGTATTTGTGTTACTTCACGTAATTACTTCTGTTTATAGATACAATATGCATGAGAACAGCCAGCGGTCGCTATAGGCATCTAATTCCTGTAATTTTACAATCCCCATTGTAGTTTATAAGAAACAATTGTATACACATTAACATTATCGTATACCATAATAGCCTTCAAGGTTAGATACTATTTATCAAAATATGAACGTTTGGTCATAGTTTACAAGATATTTTTGTAAACGTCGAGTACAAGAGGACTTCTCAGAAGTTCTCCTACTTTTAATTTACGTATGCATGTAAAAATCGAATGTTAACTTACCATCACGTAATGTCTCTGGATTTCTATTTTTTCGCTAGCTAATTTTTCACATTCTAGTTTCAAACTGTAACAAAAAAAATAAAATTTTGTTAGTTTTTTTTTTTTTTCATGATGGCTGGACTTCGTCGTTCATAATATACGATATTTTAAAAACTTACTTGTGATATTGGGCTTGTAAAAAATTAAATTCTTCTTTTATTCTATCGCATGACTCGCTAACAGTGAACTTGAAGGGCTGTCCTGCTTGCGGAGGTCCCTGAAAAGAGTAGAAACGTTTTTCAGTAAATATGTACTGTACAACAGGACAGGCAAAAGTGCCGCCTGGTTGAACTAAAACTAACAATTATTTATCAATTCAAAAAGAATGGTGTTTGGTATGTGCACTTAGCAGCCAACTATGACTATTAACGGAATACAAATTAGATCGTTTTATTATGTTAATGTGGATACCGAGTACGAAGCCCATTTAGGCTCTGTAGTACGTCATCAATATTAACAGCCCGCATTATAAAGGCTGGTAATGGAATGAAAAAGGAATGTCTTATCGACTATAAGCGATGGTTCGTTAAATCTAATGGCCATAAAATGGTAAAACTAAATAAATAGCTGCTGCCTTATAAGGATTAAGATACATATATATAATTTATAGATTTCTAGCTTTTGCAACATCAAAAGAAAAATACGAAAAGATTTCAACGTTTTGCGTGTGCAATGACACGATATGATGATGTATCATTTTTATGGTGCAAATCCATTTCCTCTGTTAATATTGATTAATCTAAAAATGTGCTTCCGGTTATCAAGCAACCGAATAACCCAATAACTTCTTTAAATAAAAGTACAGCGACACGCTAGATTAATAACACGGTTGGCTTGATCAATCAATTCGAAAACGTTAATAATTACAATCCATGTTTACGAACATATCTATCTCTGATATGTACTTGACGTAACATTTACAGACAATTGATAGGCAGATTGTGTGCTAGGTTGGCAAGTATCTACCTATGTGTACTAGGCATACGTGGAGGAAACGTTCCAACAATCAAATTTGCCGCAGCGAAGATCTGTGCAGGTCTCCCTGCTGCGTTTCTATTCGACCGTGAACTATCGACGTATTAATTCGCAAATCAAAGAGCTTGCGTTTACCGATAAACCCTTACTTTGCGAGGATACCACGTCGAAAATCTGACTTGACCGAACATAATTTCATTAGAGGTGTAGTTTGCACCCGGTTTAATACTTGCCTACCATGCATCGGCATAAAATACTTATTTAAGTGAGACGATGAGATGATTATAGAATTTAGGACACATGATAATGACAGAGTCGGTCAATTTTGCACATTTTCTAGACTTGAGACCACTAATTTCATTTTCCTGCCGATTCATCCCGGAATGTTAGGGTAGTTAAGCTGGAAGTAGTCAGTGAATACCTAACATGGATTCCGATTGTATAATTTTGCTGGAGCAGGGAAAGTTTGTGAATTATTTTCTAGATATTGCGATTATGAGTAAAGGATTTAAATTGTGCTAGAGGTTCGTGGAGGAGTTGTGGGCATAAGTTGGGAAAGCAAAGCAAAACAGACCAGATGAAGATGGTTGAAGAGAGAAAGACCATCGTGGAACGTTTGCCTATAAGCCCATACGATTTGAGGAAACCGCAGAAAACTTGAACCACATCAGTAGATAAACCCGGAATGGAACCAATGGCGTAAGCTCGATTTAATACAGGGAAGAAGGCAGGCATGTTTTATATACGAGCTCAAAACTTCAGAAGCATAAAAAAAACAAAACGAATGATCTTTTCCGCAGAAGCCATCCATAGATACCTTTTAGGTAACCCGATGCATTTTCTGTTTGAAATTCTTGGAGATATGGATAAGGTCACAAATATATTCCGTTGACCTGTCTCACAGTCCGAATCTCTTGGCTTATTATTCCGGAAAACAATGACCAAGTCCGAGATACGATCACCAGATTGACCAAGCGATAATATGCGAGGAGCAGACAAGTAAAGCGAGCGAGTTCATTGTGGAGTACAATTCACAGCGTAAAACGTGGTGAACAGGCGTGGTTCTTTTGCATCCGATCGGCAATACACGAGAACAGTTGCCTGCTCGGTGCTGGCACTCGACAACACGTTAAATATGTATGTGTGCTTGTATGTAACGTACGTACAAGTGGAACAAGAGAGAACGAGAAAGAGAAGGTACAGTGCTACACGTACCGACAACACATGCAGCACACGCAACTATTACCGTAATTACCACACGGCCACGCCGTATCACGGTCAATTAAATACCCTTATCCAACAATCAGAGGAGGTGGCCGGCTACACCATTGTTTAAGTATGTTAAGAGATAATGCCGATAAAGGCGAGCGCAACAGCAACAAACGAAACGAATGAAAAGAGAACGTATAATTTATCCGCGGGCTTTTGCAGATTTACACCGTTGCCCAGCAGGAGATAAGTCTCGGATCTGATGACGTAAACGATACGATCTTCTTTTATTTTAATGATAAACGTATTGTCGGTCAAGTTCAGAACGTCGGACAGTTACTCGAGTCATTTCTTTTCATTCTTATCATCACTTTTATGGGTGTTAGCCTATTAGGGACTTGAATATTGAGATCTACAACTGGTTAGTCTTCTACCAATTCCGAGTTCTTTTAACTTGATGCACCAAAAAGATGCGACCCTCTAAAAGTGACCGATTTTGATATTCATTTTTTCGTATACCCAGGTATCAAACTGTTCAGGAATTGACAAACAGAAAAGTTACTGTACAAGGGAACTGTTTTTGTTCCCGGTTCTCTCTGTTATCGCTTCTCTACATAGGCAGAGTTTGTTCATGTACATGTACAGGATGTTGATGAAAGTGATAATGCCTGTTTTGTTTCATTGTAAGTTGGACGACAATGAATGCTGGTAATATTCACACAAACCCCATGGTCTGTAGAGTCTGATCAACAATAATTGATACCATACGGGATGCTCCATGTCTTAAACCTAGAAGTTTGGAATGAGACTCAAAAGATCTCAAAACCCAAGATTCAAGATTATCTCGATTCTTTTAAAGAATTTTATGTTTTGCTTTTATTCTTCCAAAACCAAGAAACACTAATTTAATAAATCGGTCATTTCATGAGCAAGGCAGATAGACAATGATGAGTTCATCAAACAAGTAGTATGCTACAGACCAAGAGGGTATGCCCTGAAGAAGATTACAAACATGAAGATGGAAGGCTAGAAGCGGTTATTTCATGAGCAAGGCAGACGGACAATGATAAGTTGATAAAACAAGTAGTATGCTACAGACCAAGATGGTATGTCATGAAGAAGATGACAAACATGAAGATGGAAGGCTAGAAGCCTGATCCTTGAATAGATCGAGAATTACTAAATCAAACGAACTTACCTGTAATGAAGTTCGATTGTAATTATATGAAGTCCTCGTGAAGTAAATAAGAACAAGCGTAGTTTCCCTATCTCACACCGCACACCACGAATTTTAAAGTAAACAACCCTCATGCTACCCCCGCGTAACCCGTACCTTCGTTGGTCTAGTACCTACCTCATCCAGCTCATTCCTTGTTTTCGTGCCGTACATTACGTAAGTGCCGTGTTAAATTCACGTTAGGTGTTGTATAGTGTATTTTGTTTGGTTTTAATCATGTCGAATAGGAAAAGACGTTACAGTTCTGATTCCGATAGTGATGAATTTATTAAGTGAAAAATTTCCAAGATTTAAATCAAAAGGCAAGAGATCCATCTCTCCATCTCCCTTGACCCTGTCGGGATCGATATCGTACCAAGACCAGGATGGTTTTGTTTCTCCGGTGTTGCCGGATGAAGACGACGTCCCTTTATCTGTTCTCGCAGCCAGTATTAACGAAGACTCAAACGATCTTAGTACAAATACTTTCAGAGGTACATAAATCCTAATTAGCTTCCGTTTTTGGGGTTAAAGAAATAACTTGGTAAAATATTATGGTATATTTTACATAACTCACTATTATCTGTCTTTACATGGTAATGACATGATCAATTTGTAAAATATTATGGCATATTTTACATGTCTAAATCGACATAACTTAAATGGCAGTTAAATATTGTAAAATATTATGGTATATTTTACATAACTGACTATTATCTGTCTTTACATGGTAATGACATGATCAATTTGTAAAATATTATGGCATATTTTACATGTCTTAATCGACATAACTTAAATGGCAGTTAAATATTGTAAAATATTATGGTATATTTTACATAACTGACTATTATCTGTCTTTACATGGTAATGACATGATCAATTTGTAAAATATTATGGCATATTTTACATGTCTTAATCGACATAACTTAAATGGCAGTTAAATATTGTAAAATATTATGGTATATTTTACATAACTGACTATTATCTGTCTTTACATGGTAATGACATGATCAATTTGTAAAATATTATGGCATATTTTACATGTCTTAATCGACATAACTTAAATGGCAGTTAAATATTGTAAAATATTATGGTATATTTTACATAACTGACTATTATCTGTCTTTACATGGTAATGACATGATCAATTTGTAAAATATTATGGCATATTTTACATGTCTTAATCGACATAACTTAAATGGCAGTTAAATATTGTAAAATATTATGGTATATTTTACATAACTGACTATTATCTGTCTTTACATGGTAATGACATGATCAATTTGTAAAATATTATGGCATATTTTACATGTCTTAATCGACATAACTTAAATGGCAGTTAAATATTGTAAAATATTATGGTATATTTTACATAACTGACTATTATCTGTCTTTACATGGTAATGACATGATCAATTTGTAAAATATTATGGCATATTTTACATGTCTTAATCGACATAACTTAAATGGCAGTTAAATATTGTAAAATATTATGGTATATTTTACATAACTGACTATTATCTGTCTTTACATGGTAATGACATGATCAATTTGTAANTCGGGTCATGTTCACTGAACCTTAACAACTATCAGTATAAATTAGGATTAGTTCTCATTTAGGTTTAGTTTACTTCAGTCCCTGAAGAAGGTAACGTTGTTACCGAAAAGTGCTTCGGACAACTACTGTGTCGTGTTTTGGCGTTGGGGTTTTGAGCTATTCTGTTTGTTCTACAACAACCGCTAAAGTTTTTCCAATCTTCATATTCAGTCTTAGGACTGACGACCTTATGGTGATGAACCCCATTCTTGATCATCAC